CTTAAAAAATCAGAAGACTCATTCAAGTTGATATAATTATGTAGAATATTGCAATAAGAGAATAATAGAAAACACATGTAAGCACTTTTGAAGAACGTATTCCGATTGAAGTGCGAAAATAGGGAATTGTAAAAACTGTAAAATATAAACTTTAGTTAAATTTTAATCAGTGACTTAATAAATATCACATTGTTTCCTCCAGAAATATGAAATATATGGTTTACGCATTGTCAAACGCATGAAAGTAAGACACATTGAAACTAAACATAAACTATACTATAAAACAAACCCTTGAAAAGATAAAGATAAACTTTTTCTATCATATTTAGATATTGCATATTAATACAAATTTAAAGCGCCTTATTCTCAAATGTAATGATTATTCTATTAAATTGCAGAACACATTGAAGTTTGTCAAAATGCATCGAAAATGTTAAAACCACAAATTAAATTGAAATAAAGCATATAACACTTATAAGCAGTTGGTTTAAAAAAAAATACGATTTTAAACTTCTAAATGTTAAACACTAAAATAATTGAAAAAGCTGAAGTTTATGTAAAGTAAATTAATTTTAGGCCTATGTAAAGGATAAAAAGCGGTATATAATTGTAAATTATTGTAATTACTTGTGTAAATTATACGATGATTTGTATATTAAGTATGACATAAAAGTTATTTCAATTAAATAAAATTTATTTTCTTTACGTAATATTTATTTTTGTTACATAAAATTTATTTATTTTACATGTTTTTTGTAAATTTTTTTGTTCGTACATTTTTTTTAACAGGTTTTATTTTGTGTGTGTGTGTGTGTGTTTACACATTTTTTTCTTTCATACATATTTTAATGTTTACTTTCAATGTTTTCACGATTTGTATTTTTGCCTAAAAGTAATGACACAATAAAAGTACATTTTGTTAAAATTTGTTGTGGTCCAATAAAAGTGCATATTCATAACATTTTTTGTGGTGTACAAACTATTGCTATATACATCAATCACATGAGTCATGTATGACAATAAATTAACAGAGCACTGCGGTGGGCTTAGCTAGTTAAATAGAAACAGGTAAAAATAGTATACGTTTACTAATTTCTATATCTGTCGCGACTACAATCTCTGAAATCTTACAAAAAAGCGCTATGGTTATAATATAATTACACAATAATTCCTTATAACAAACACGTTTTATCAACAAATAGACGCGTTTCAAATATCATATTGTGTTAGCCATACCATCGTACTAAGTATTGGTACTTCTTGTAAAGTGCAATACAAGCAAAAATAACACGTTCTGATTGATCGTTTAATTTAAGACATAGGCCCAATTTGATAGGCGCTACTAACAGTTCCATACATTTTACAACTACAATATATACTTTCTCTCTTTTTATTTTACAAGCTTATTATTAATAACGAATTAAATAGAAGCAGATAATAATTTTTTTTACTATCTCATCTTTTTGTGGTGAATTTATTGTTGATTTTAGTCGTAGTGATGAATGGCAAACATAGTAATGATCATCATCTTCCGTTACTCTGAATAACCTCAGTTGAGTATAGTCGTACAATGTGTTGTATTAATAAGTAAAAACAAAGTATAATAGTATGAACATTGTACAAATCACTAATTTAATGTTTACTTGCTTTGTTTTACATACATTTTACAATTCTTTTTCGTTATTTACAGTTTACTTTTGTGGAGTGGATTTTCTTCATTTCGATAATTTATTTTTGCCATTTTTTAGGTATAGATTACTTTTATTTTACTAAATTGTTGACTTTCTATCTACATTATTTAATTTGTGTGTTTAACTTTTGCTTTCTGATTATGTACCGCACTGTGTAATCTATGTTAATTGTAAGTAAGGTACGGTATCTCACGATCACAATGAAAAACAACATTATATTTGTTGAGTTGTGCTTCGTGAATAAATAAAGTTTTACTACTACATTGGTGCTCTAGTTGTCGTCGTTGGTGTTATGGTGGAACTAAAATCAAAACTGAACGTCTGTGTTCGTAGCTGTCGTCGTCGTCATCATCATCATTTTCGTTAGCTGAATCAATGTCATTAAAGAATTGAGAGAAATCATTTTCATAATTCTACGCGTTGTACACGTAGTACGTGTAGTACGCAGGGGCGGATCCAGAGATGTCCAAAAGGGGGGGCCGAAATTTGGGCCGATCGAGACAACAATGACCTAGTGTGTTCTAGACGCCTGAAAATAACATTTGAGGCGTTGTGGGATATCATTTTTTTCTTTTTCTTTCTTTTTTTTCTTCTTTTTTTTACCTCCCAAAAGGGGGGGCCGGGGCCGGGCCGGCCCCCCTAAATCCGCCCCTGGTACGCGTAGTACGTGTAGTACGCGTAGTACGTGTAGTACTCGTAGTACGTGTAGTACGCGTAGTACGTGTAGTACTCGTAGTACGTGTACTACGCGTAGTACGCGTACTACGTGTAGTACGTGTAATACGTGTACTACGCGTAGTACGTGTAGTACGCGTAGTACGTGTACTACGCGTAGTACCCGTACTACGCGTACTACGGGTAGTAATTATGACACAGTTGAACCGCCATACGACTGCCCCCGACGCACACAATCGCATCTGCGTTGAACTCACAACAAATCACGTCGGGCTGCGTCGTACGACGCTGTCTGAGTTGGCCAGGCTTAACAACTCTGATGATGGCCAAGTGTTCCGTCTCTCTCTAGTAAAAAAAAAATCCCCTTTAAAAGGAGGCCATGATTGACATTTCAAACAAAATACTACATCCATACTTTTTTCTCCGATGTCCATTAATTCTGATTTACACATGTTTACAGTTGAGGGACCTTGTCTCACCTTACTGTTTAGATTTATGTAGAAGTCCCTTTTTTCATTAAATTTAATGAAATCATCAGTTTTTAAATATCCATCATGATCAATGATATTTTTGAAATCCTTATCCAGACTCTGTTTATCAACTACCTTAAGCCTCAAATGCATAGGAGTTTTTGAATCTTGCTCAGCCACTATAAACTTCCATTTTTTGTTTTGGTGGGGCCATTCCCACAATACTATTGAAGACGCGTCACACAGCATGACGTCCAAATCATTCCAGGCCGTTGGAGGAACACCTTCATGCGAACTTCCAGCATAGTGTCATCAAATTTCAGAATTTCTCTTAATAGATGATTAGCAATTTCCTGCTCAATCCGAGTAAATGAGATAATAGACAGTCTGCTATCCATTTCTAGTTTAATGATTTCGCTGGCATATTTTTCCATTGTAAGTTGTTTCAGATCAACAATGGTTTAATATTTATGTTTCTCACAGGTTTAACAGATGCAATATCTATCATGCAATTAGAGTTAAACCTCAGTATATACACTATATCTGATATGATAATTTATTGACACATAAATGACATACGTGACACATAGACATTGGTTGCTGCTTATATGCATAAATGCACAATGATTAGAGCAACACCTCACAGCAAGGAGGGTGTTATGCAATAATTGAGTAAACACATTTTTGCTAACCATGGAGGAAATATATTTCCTAAAAAGCATATGCATTGTACTGTGTGTGTGGTGTATGATATTGTTTGTAATTAAAACTATCATATTTTTAACATACGCATAAAAATATGCATCATTGTGACCTGAGCAACAACCAATAGTACTACAGGAACAAAGACAGATTGATTGTTATTTTACCAGCATATTAATCCATTGTAAAATGTTTCATATCGATGGCCATCAACAATAGACACATCAATGACTACGTATTAACAGAAGAGTTAAAACATATTGCTAGTTAATGTATGAATGCACATAAGGTAATTAGAGCCAATACCTCTCTTAAATTTAAAGCATGGACCAATACTGTTAATAAAGGTGTGTCAACCAACCAAGCGGCCTAAGTAACAAATATGCATTTCTACTTAATAGATCCCTGAAGTTCCTTTCTTATTCAAATTATACATGCATACTGTTCTTTACATACAGAGACACACATAATATCACTTCATAGTTTTTTTGAAAAAGAAATATCTAGGGATCTACTCTGAAGTGCACATTTGTTATGAATTTTAAATTATTTTGGAAATTAGACCAAAATCAGCCAGTTTAACTAATTAATGGGAGCACATATGTTATATTTGTTATTTAAAAATTAAGTAAACACAATATATTTCAGCTATATTTGCAACTTACCTGGCTATTACAATTGCCATTCATATTATTTGTTTCTTTGGGATTTCCACAATACTACTGGAAATGTTGTTTTACACCTCATGATGTCCTCACCACTCCAGGCCAATGAAGGAATGCCTTCAATTAAATCTGTATTGAACCTGTCTGAACCCATTGCCCACTTCTTCTTTAATTCTAGAAGATGTACTTAATATGTTGACCGGATCCACTCTAAAGATTTCATTTGCAACATTTTCCATTGCTTGACATGTTTTAATCAAGGCCTGCCAAAGTTGAATTTCTTTTAGGCATAGAGGGATACTCTATATCTATATAGACATAGAGCAATGAAACAATGAATAAAAAGTGTGCCGCGTTAGTCTGATATAGAACAATAAAAGAAATGACAGCAACACTTTTAAGACTAACTTGTATTAAATTTAATCTCTAACTTTCGTCCACACAGTAGACTTCACCAGGAGACTTTACGAGATTAACAAAGGCGCTACATTGACTGGATAAACAAAAATATTCTAATCAAAAGTCAAGAAAATTTGCTACAGTGTATAGTGTTTGAGTTGGGAGGGGGAGGCTGGTACAAAAACAGTTGACTATAATTTCTTTGTTCTTTGCTGCATGCTTTTATTCATTATCAATATCCTACTTCTAGCCTATTATATACATAGTGACTGATTCTCATGTTATTCAGTTGTAAATTTCTGAATCCTGATTAACTAAACTTGAAGACTCTGTTCAAAAAAATTGTTTCATAGTCTACCACAAGTTTAGTTAATTAGGATTGGCCACTGACAAGTTGATTAATATTGTTTACAAAGTAATTTCTAAAAAAAACCTGTAGGACAGGTGCTTAAAGTCATCTTTAAGCTCTGCTATGAATCTGTGTACAGTATATGGAATCTCTGGCTCCAGAATTAAAGTAGTCATGTAATTAACTTATAACTAGTTTTCGAAAAGGTTCTGATTGACCTGGCCACATGCTATTTCAATTTGTTAATGGCAATCACAAATTTACTTTAATAAACATAAAATATATCCTTAACTATTTTAATTAACTAGTCTACCTTTTTTCCAGTGAAACATTTTAAGTGGAGTGGGCCTTAGCTGGCAAAATAAGGTAAGAGGCCTATGTGGTGATTTTGTGAAATTTTTTGCTCAGCATATTTTGTGAGGGTGAAGTGCCTACATTGTAGATATGCCACTGTTACAAGTTGGTGTCAATATGATAGAGAAGTTACCTTTATTACATTTGTAATTCTACAATTAAACATTCTAAGATTAAGATTGTTATAAACATTGTAGTAGTCCTAAGATACAAAACACGATTAATCTTATCCTGAAGTGCCATCAACTTCTTCACAAGATCCAATGCCTTCTTTGTATCCCCCTCACTAATTAATACTCTGGCTTTCATGTATAGAGCAAGTGCAATTGGATGCATGTGAAGGACCAATACTTGATAATCTTTGACAAATTGATACAAACGTTTATCAACGCTCCAGCCATTAACTCCAAAAGCTGTCTTTGAGGGTAATGCAATACTAGCAAGCCTAGTAGTACTAGTGTTTTTGATTTCTTCAAATTTACTTAGTATACATTCACACACCCGCTTCACTTCATTGCAGTTACCCATTAAATAATGGTAGTGTGCTTCAAGGACTAGACCTCCTATGCCTTGATCACAACAATTGTCAGGGAAGATCATTTCAGCTCCCAATTTAAAGTACCCGTTTTCACTGAACAGCATCTTCTGAACAATATCTAGATCTTTATATCTTACTTTTCGTAAAGGTATCAGTAAATGAGTAAATGCATCGACTAAGGACCTATACAAACGTGTTGTGAACATGTTCACATGTTCTGTTGTTACTATCTCTTTCACATTATTTACAACTGATAAAATGGTTTTCTCAACAGTATATATAAGAGCCACCAAATTAAATATGTCTCTAGGCTTACCAAACAAAAAAAAGGGAAAAAAAATTTCTCCACCCAATTTTTGCATTTAATAATTCTTATTGTAACTTTTTATAGTAGGTAAATTACAAAAGATTTCTTTGATTATGTTCTCTGTAGCTCTTGGGTGATTCTGGAGTTCCATGACCTGTAGTACTTTGATTTCTTTTTTTTTTTGGCCTGAGTATCTGCCACATCTCATCATCTCTATTGATGTTGAATTCATTACCTAAAAGGTTAAAACACCATTCATATGTCTCATCACCATCAATACTATATAACACCTTTGTCCAAAGATCTCTCTTAATTTCTGTCAATTTTCCTTTGACAGAATCACAACGTTCTTCCAAGTGACCAATCAAATTGTGTTCACGAATAAAATAATGAGGCAGACATTGGTGTTGATAGCAGTCAATAAGCCAATCTAGAACTTCTCTAATTAAATCCATAAGACTGCAATCTGTATGTCGAAATGTTTCACACTTCCACAAGCAAGCTGTCTTTATAAAATACGAGCAAAATGGTGTTGGTTTATCAGAATCACTGTAATCTATGAATTTATTCTTGATTGCTTTCAGGGCAAACATGCATTCAGCATATGGTTTGTACATTTCAGTAATGAGTGCTCTCTCAGCTATGGAAAATGACAATCTCCAAACAATACCGCCTAATTCACTACCTGGGTATCCAACAGGAACTACATGACATTCTAGACCTTTTACCTTTTCTAACAACTCTGGTGACGGCCAATTGTTCGGTCTCTCTCTAGTAAAAAAATCCCCTTTAAAAGGAGGCCATGATTGACATTTCAAACAAAATACTACATCCATACTTTTGTCTCCGATGTCCATTAATCCTGATTTACACATTTGTACAGTTGAGGGTCCTTGTCTCACCTTACTGTTTAGATCTATGTAAAAGTCCTTTTTTTCATTAAATTTAATGAAATCATCAGTTTTCAAATATCCATCATGATCAATGATATTTTTGAAATCCTTATCCAGACTCTGTTTATCAACTACCTTAAGCCTCAAATACATAGGAGGTGTTGAATCTTGCTCAGCCACGACAAACTTCCCTTTTTTTTGGTGGGGCCATTCCCACAATACTATTGAAGACGCGTCACACAGCATGACGTCCAAATCATTGCAGGCCATTCGAGGAACACCTTCCTGTGAACTTCCAACATATTGCATGTCATCAAATTTTATTTCTCTGAATAGATGATTAGCAATTTTCTGGTCAATCCGAGTAGAAGAGATCATAGGCAGACTGTCTATGATCTCTTCTATCCATTTCTAGTTTAATGATTTCGCTGGCATATTCTTCCCTTGTTAGTTGTTTCAGATCAATGTTTGCCATGGTTTAATTTGTATGCCTTTCACAAGTTTAACACTATGCGATATCTATCATGCAATTAGCATTAACTCTTTCACTAAGTAATTTCCTATTCCATATTTCCCATATCTGGACGGAATAAAATGCAGGAAATTTGGGGAAAATAGGAGATATATAGAAAAAGCGTTATCAGTTTTTAATTGGCTTTCAAAAATATACAAAAGTATATATATTCTTTATCCTTGAGACCTTCTCTGTCTAAGTATAAGTCCACCTTGCCCATGGCCACGGACAGGACCACGACCATGCCCTCTGACATTCCGTCTCCGATTTGGTACAGGCTGAATGAAAGTTGTCACTGTCGTTGGTGCTAGTGTTATGCACACTTTCACTATCATGACTAGGCCTAGCTAGGCCTACACTATCATCATCGCTAATATCCATGTCATCTTGTGATTCAGTGGCAGTAATTGAACAATCACTATCACTCTGGGTATCATCATCATTGACATCCCACTGTGCAAGTCTGCGAAGCACTTCTTCTGCAGTTAAATTACGTCTCCCAAGCGCAGCCCTCAAAACAACAATGCCTGCTTGAAGCCTGTTTCAGATTTTATTCAGACGGAGAGCCGCCCTGAACGGCTTAAAATAAGGTCAAAGGTCATGCAGAATTGTTGTTCAATATAATATATGCTAACGTCATGGGGCTATCCCCGGGATATCCTCATTTGTTTACAGTGACGTCAACAAGCCGCTGTCAGCGGCTTTCCTCTCAAACTGCATGTTTTATCTGCGCCGCTGTGAGCGGCTCGCCGTAGCGAAAGAGTTAAACCTCAGTATATACACTATATTTAATATAATAATCTATAGACACATCAGTAACATACGTGGCACACAGACATTGGTTGCTGCTTATTTTCATGAATGCAAAATGATTAGAGCAACACCTCACTTAGAGCAAGGAGTTTGTTATTCAAGAATTAAGTAAACACATTGTTGTTAACCATGGAGGAAATATAATAAAAAGCATGGACGTTGTGTGTATGGTGTACGACATTGTTTGTAATTAAAACAATAATTTTAACATACGCATAAAAATATACATCATTGTGACACTCACAAGTTTAACATGTGAGTGTCACGATCATAATGTGTAACCAGCTACCTTTCCTTTTGAACTTAATTAAAGCTCTCCAGACTACCAAATTTTATGTGAAAAATATGTTTGATGTGCCTATATATGGGCATAATAATGTCATGTATATATGGGCTGGGCATATCACAGCTATTTTTAAGACTCGCATGCGCTGGAATAAAATTATGTAAGTTGCCTATTATGCCAATTGGCTGACTTCAAGATGCTTTCCTTGGTTTAAAATCAGTTATTCTTTGTTAATAATTTAATAAATCTGGAATTTGTGTCAGGTTTAACCGAACTCAGTTTTAATTGACATGACACGTAATTATCGATTTGATTTTTAAGGTTCGTCCAGAAAATGCTCTGATACTGGTAGCACAACCATTTTGGTGTAAACTTCAGCGATAGAATATGTAAATCTGCCCCGAAAATGATTTTGATAAAATACAAATTATTTAATTTCCAGTACGATTAAAATTGTAACGGTACTGGTTGACAGGACTTAAACCATTTAAAACTATATGCAATTGATCAGAAATTCCTTGATTTTCTAAGGCGATTAATCTTATCCCACATTGTATTCTGACCAGAAGCTATATTTGCCATAGGTAATTATTTGTAACAATAAAAACAAAGTGGACGTGCAGATTACAATTAGTGTCTGGCATATCTACAGTATACCGTTAATGGTTTCTTCATTACAACAATACGGCCCTACTAAACTTTTAATGATTGTGATACATTTTAGGGGTTTTATGATAGGGCCTACATAGGATTATATATTTCATTCAAATATTTCTTTATCAAAACATGCAATGCATTCCCTGTGTCCCCCTTAGTAAGTGTAGTTGACTTTTAATTTAACTTTAAATTTGCAGGTATGATTTTACTATTATAAAACAGGTTGAGTTGATATCACAATTCTTTATTCACCTCAAATTTAATATTCATTAATTTGCTGTCCATAGATTATGTAAAAACAAGAAATAACAACTTAACATTCATTGTGTTCAAGCACACCGTGTTAATACATAACAATAACTTATTAATAGTCATAAGTATGTGTTCACTCAAGAGTAATGATTCTTCATCGAGTATACAGGGGTGGCGCCAGAACCTGCCCGACGGAGGGGCTAAAGGCCCCGACGGGGGGGGGGGCTAGTGAAGCGAATCGAGTCTCACTTGGCTTGGGCCAGGGGGCCGCCCAGGGCCCCGGTGGGGGTCCAGGGGGCTTCGCCCCCTGGAAGCCACGGATATTTGATGAATTATGGCGAATTTTTATTACTTATTTAACAGGCATCGAGTTACTATAATATGACTTCATGTAGGCTATGCTTTCTAATGTTGACATCAGCTTCCAAAACCAAAACATTTTGAGTAAAGCAAGAAACAAAGAGTATGCAATGTAACCATCTAATTTATTTTCAAATCCTCATTCTTAAAAGTGAAATTCTATATTTTGGAAATTTTGCATGAAATCTGTCAACCACGTTGTCATGGTCGAGGTTGCTTCACCTATCACGATGTATTCCAACCATCATGAGGCTATCTAAATAAGCATTATTTTTAATTAGTCTCATTGAATTATTATTATTATTATTATTATTATTATTATTATTATTATTATTATTATTATTGATATTATTATTATTATTGTTATTGTGGTTGTTGTTGTGATGAAAAGTTAACACAAACGATATGGTGGCTAAACGAATATTACATGTAAATATTCTTTTTATTTGTTTGTTCCCCGACAAAACTTATCGTCTTCCCCGACGTGGGGGGGGGGGCTATTTCTCCCAGCCCCCTCTGGCGCCACCCCTGCGAGTATACCTGCTTACACGACAGGCTATGCATTACAAAAACTATTATTCATCATCTGTGTCCAGCAGGTCGTCGTGGTCAACCCCTGATCAAGCATGATTTTCCTCCCCAGAGATCTTGCCTGTGTCAGGTAATTTAGATCGGCAAGACTTCCTCCTGTACTAATAGTGATTTCCTGCATCCATCGTGAAGGCTGACATCCCCTTCGTCTTCTCCCTTTAGATTTTCCTAGCATTAAGCCTTGCCAAGACTTTCTTCCCGCATCACATGGCCGAAAAAAGGAAGCTTTTGCTTAAAGACAAAAGCTTCAAGAGAGGTTTGTTTTTTATTATTGAAATGGACCTCATCATTGGGAATGCATTCATCTTTCTCCTGTCATTCAATTTCAGGGTCCAACTCTCTGCACCATAAAGTACTACCAGGAATACAAGACTGTTTACTAACATCACTTTGGTGTTTCGTGAAATATACCATTGTTCTTCATGACATTATTAGCTTGTTCATGGCAGCTTTTTCAAGTAATGTCCGTCTTTTTGCATTTCCATTTTACATCTACCATCCTTATTTATAGTTGAACCAAGAAAGATGAAACTATCCACTAATTCAATGCTTTCTCCATCCAATGAAAATAAGTCTAAATCTGTGTTAGACATAGTTATCATTATTCATATGCAAAACATTGAAATTTGTAGGCCTAGATCCTGATCCTCATGTTCGCAGATGCGTCTAATTAATACATACGAACTCAGGTAAACAAATCGGTGTAGCAAATATATGAGTTATCAATTTAAACTTAGTATATTAATAATAAAGCAGTAATAATTCACTAATCATCTGGCCATCATTCATTTCTACTTATTGTAGTACGTTCATGTACGTAGGAGTAGCCCTATGTACATCATTTATGTACATAGGGCTATTTACAACAATCCTTTCCATTCAAATCTCATATGTAATGATATGGGTTCTTTTAAAATTTTCAAATATCCCATTGAATCATCTTCTATTTTACTTAAAGGATTTAAATTGTTTAACTAATTCATCAGTAATCCTTAAATTAGAAATTCTAGCCACTCTTCCATTTGTTTCAAGTCTTAAAATAAAGATCAAATGCAGTAAAACACAATAATTACAATAACATATTTAAATATAATTACAAGATATCAAACAACAGCCATTATAAAAAATGTTGGTATTAGTGCTTGTACCAACATAGTTGGGTAAATAATTTGGTTAATGATGCAGGAGTAAACAAAAATGAGAACGACAAAAGTGTTACATCAGGTATTGTTTAATTTGAATGAATGACGTCATCTGTGTTTTCTTAGCTATCTGATTTAATGGAAAACAATTGGAGATTGTTAAGATATTAAGTTATCAAAACTATGTAAAATTGTGAACACCCATATCACCATGCAATCTCTTTTCTTCCAAGGAGGCGAGTCCTTGTCACTGTAACCTATCTTGAGCTGGGAGATGACAGAGTTCAGGTACTAGTTTAGTGACACGCCTTTGAACCTTTCCCTACATAATTATTTCATTTTATAAGGAGAGGACCAGACAGAATATTTTAAGATGGGTCTCTCAATAGATTTGTGTAATCCGGATAGAAACATTTCTTTGTTCATATACATAAATGTCCTCTTAGTACGATCATAGAGTTAGTGTAGTGAAAATCACCAGGGCCCCATGACCATTTTTCGGGCACCAATATTCCTCTACAGATTTAGCATCAGTAGGGTATACATTTTTTTTAATTGAGCGGAGGGAGGGAGAGAGGTACCTCCAGAATAAGGGCGGAACACATTTTGGTGACCTTTTTCAAAATGGCTGCCAAAATTCAGATATTGGCTCATAACTCTACTTACATTCAATAAAAAAGTAATGATATTATCATGTTTGTACATTAATGACCCAATTCAGTTACATACATTTTTGTTAACTGCAATGACATGTGTGTTCAATAAAAGATACCGATATATATAAAAGGCAAATCTTATAGTTATTGGGGTCATTGAATTCAATGAGACATGTTTCATAAACCTAGAATGGCAGCTAATTTAAAATGTAAAAATAGTCAATAATCGGTAAATTTAGTATCATAATATGTTTTATATGAGGCAATGAATTATTAGGGGCTGCCTCTTCTTATTTCAGTTTATTTGGTGTCAGTCATATGTGACGCCTAAAAAAACACTCTACACGACTGAGTAGCATTCTGCAGGTTCTTTATTTCCGTGGAGTATCCAGAACAACAAAAATCAAAACAAACCAAACCTTAAAACAATGAACAAATAAGTTTGTATCAATAACACAGGAGCAAGTAGCTTCACATAACAAATTATTCATTATCAATCAAGATATTCCAGAAGAACACGTAAGCCATTAAGTCTTGATATATTAGACAAACTAAATAAGTATATAAATAAAAGTAACATTACAATTAATTAAGAAATCGTTCGTTATAATAATCCATATACAGTAGTACACAGTAAAGATTAATCATATCATACGATAGTAATCCGTTAACACTTAAAGGCAATTCACAGAGTTTCTAACAATCATGAAAATAACATATGTTCGTCAGTTATACCATATTATAATTTATCGAGTCTCCCCTAGCAAACACCGAGCAAGCTGATTATGGTCACTAACAACAAATTACGGTATGGTACTGTACGATATTACAAACTGAATAACTGCAATGGCAATACAAAATATTTGACAACAATGCACAAATTAAAATATTAAATGTAATGAATTCATAATTAATCATCAAAAATGCAATCTATGTATTGGCACATCATACAATGATTCACTGAACAAATTTAATTAGTTAACTCGCCACAAAAGCAAT